ATATATATATATATATATATATATATATATATATTTGCAATTACATATTTAATGATGAAATTGCAATTTAGAAAATGTAAAATATATTAACTTTAAATGTAGTATTAAATAACACACCACAGTTCAATTTACAGTTACAGTTAAAAGTATTTTACACGTGCTTTAGTATGTTAGTCAATACATCAAAATAAGTACTTATTTAAAATACTAAAATATTATTTAAACAATGATTTGAAATGACTATTACAAAGTGCATATTGTGACAAAGTGTAATTAAGTGGATTAAGAAATATAGTAATGAATGTGTATGCTAAATTAAGTACACTTAAGGGGGCTTTTATAATGGTATTGTATTTTCCGAAAATTACAGTTTAGATTTTAAGTATATTTTTATATAACATACTTTTAAAAATATTTTAAACAAGGACAAAGATGTGGAACATACTGGTCATCCTTTTCCCATGCAATTACAATAAATGAGCAACAAAAACAAAAAAAGAAAATAAATTGGAAACCAATTGAAAAAAAAAGAAAGAAAAGGTCATACAGGTTTGGAACAACATGAGGGTAAGAAAATGATGACATAATTCATTTGCCAGTGAACTATCCCTCTAATTCATAATTAATATTAGACATTACTAACTGTTCGCATTAATTAACTGTATTAACCATAATATTCACACGGTGGATACTATTATGTAAATTGTTAGCACATTTCTGGTGCAACATGTTATTTCAAGTGATCGCAAAATCAGAACAGGCTTCCATGAGGCTTCCACTTCCTTTCAGTTGTGTGCTGAGAAAGAAACTCTTTGGATTGGAGCAAAGGGAACACATGCCAAAGATACCTGCGCCCGAGACTCTATCAGAGACTAACCTGACAAAGGAACACCTGCTAAGATTTTATGGCTCAGATTCTAAAGGAGCAATAGTGGGGTGCTCTTCCTTGAAGTACGGCTACAGAGAGTTCTCCCCAACCGCTTCCTGATGGGCACCACCTGTTCTCTTTGCCACATGAGGATCCACGGATCGCTGGGAGAAGAGAATATTGTCACATAACACTGCTGGAGCCTCTCTCTCTCACTCTCTATTTATTCTTTGTCACCTGTTGTCCTTCAGGTACCAGATGTGACTGTTGGTGCAATAAAGGTCATATTCTGCAACTCTGGCAGGATTCCAGCTTAAAAGACAATTGACTTTAGTTTATTAGTGACTATGTCTCATACTTAAATGGGTAGTTCACCCAAAAATGACAATTCTGTCAGCATTTACTCACCCTCATGCTGTTCCAACCCAGCATGATTTTCTTTCTTCTGTGGAACACAAAATAAGATATTTAGAATTTATTTTATCCCACTGACTTTCATTGCATTTCCAAAAACAGCGGAGACAAGAAGAAACCAAAATCTAGAGACCTGAGTTTGGGCTCTTTTGATAAGCAATCACCTAGCAACCACCCAGAACATCCTAGCAACTGTATTGCTGTATGCTAAAAACAACTCCGAATACCCAGCAACGTTCTAGGATTGTGGAGCCGACTTTTGCAAGAATCACATGTTTTTTGTTGTTTATTTGTTTTTTCATAAAATGTAGTTTCATTTTTGGTCTTTCACAAAATTCTTCCTAAAATATTATTATGAGGCGTTCAAAATGGGACAACATCTAATGTGGATATTCCATGCAAATGTCATTTTTTATGCAATTTATATCCTAATCATCAGAATTCATTGGTTTCATATCAGTTATTAGCTAACATAGATTTTTTTGTAAAACATTATTGGAGTATGTTTTTACGAGAAAATAAAACATACAGTGTTAATTGCCGTGTAATTATCCATGACATTTACTAGCAATTTCCGAGTGAAGTAAGATTGTTTCTATGCCAAATGTTTTTCAGTGTGTATCTGAAAATTTTGTAAATTAAATTAAGTTTTCAGATTTTTACCTTCACCTCTAATGCTCACTTGAGGCTAATCTTTAAAACAATGAATTACAGTAATACACTAATTTACACTCACTGTACAAAATTATTATTTATTTATTTTTGTAAATAAAACTTTATTTAGAAAATTATGATTATTGGACCACAAGAAAATATTAAAAATTTCACATTTAATGTGTTAGTGTGTACTTGCTATATCTTTGTAATTATTTGTGAAATTTACTAGCAATTTGAAATTTGTATCAAAGTAAATATTACACCATTGTTTCAGTGTTGTTAAATGCAACAAGCATATCTCAAAATGAATTTGTCCATTTTTTCCAAAACCCCTTTTAAATATATTTTTGATGCCTAAATTTACTTGTAGCATTTGAAATCATTGATTTGAATTTTTTATATTTAATTTTGAATTTACTTATAATAATTATAAACATAATAATAATTGTAAAACAACTGTAATTCCCATATCCATTAAAAAAGTATCAAATACAATAAAAACTGACTCAGAAACAAAATTAAACATTAAACAACCTGGCAGTAACCCAGAACCACCTCATTGTCACCAAAGCAAAAATGTACAAGCCATTAATTGATTAATTAATAATGCTCAGTAAATAAGTCATGAGTGCAGGTTACCCATAGCTTCAGCGGTGATTAGACCTTTGGCACTGGATCACAGACTGCTCTCAAACGCGAACCTTTAATACCACACAAATAAAAACATCTGCTGCCAGCAGGCACTTTGGGTCTCATCATTATGCTGCAGACCCACAGTTCCTTCTGCCACGCCATTTTAAAGGCATAGCTGTGTTCACTGGGTAATTTGAGTTGTCTTCATCATCCGCTGACAAATGGAACTTCATGCAGAGGACCAGATGGCACGGCTAAGTCATAAATCTAAGAAATAAGACATCTGATTGATGACTTACGAGAGAAAGAAACACTCCCACTAAAAAACAAACCGAACAGCGATTTCTCTCTAATTGAAACTGACTTAGCATTAGCAAATCTAGGGAGCTATTCGAATGTAATTTGGGCTTCTCAACAGCATATAGCTAACGAAGTCAGTCATGAATACTTTTTAGTTAAATCAGTTTTTGAACTATAGGGGCAAAAATTGACCTAACAGTATGTGAAATATGTATTAAACAGCGTGGAAGAAGTTCTTACCTGAACAATGGGTGGATAACAGACTTTAAAATCACAATATGACGGATCCATAGCACCAATTATATCCCGAAACAGAACTGAATATCGCTGTATATCAAAACAAACCTCTTCGTTTCACACAGAGTTTGACTCACTCAGTTCAGCACATTTAAAAGGACGTGCTATTTTATGAGGGTGGCATAGTGTGACAACTTATCACCACCTTACCGTGAATAAAACATCTTGCACCCAGAGAATGAAGAAATATTTGTCTGATACGAGCCAAAAGACAAGAACTGTAAGCATATTCTATAGGGCTGGGTTTTGACACAAATTTCACAATTCGATTCGATTCGATTCTCATTCACAAGCTTGTGATTTGAGTCGATTCCCGATTCATTTCGATTCAATATCGATTATTTTGGATATATAGCCTGGTACACATGCAAAATTTTCTCAAGGAAAAAAAATCTCTTAAAGGGGTCATATGATGCGATTTCAAGTTTTCCTTTCTCTTTGGAGTGTTACAAGCTGATTGTGCATAGATAAGATCCCTGAAGTTGCAAAGACTAAAGTCTCAAAACCAAAGAGATATTCTTTATCAAAGTTAAGACTCTGCCACGCCCCCCTAAAACGGCTCGTTCTAACACGCCCCCACATATCTACATCACTATGTGGAAATATTAGCATAATGCCGCTAACATTGAAGGTTAAAATTGACTGATTTTTTAGGCTACACAACTGCTTAAATTACACTTAATGAAGTTTTTATAATAAAAGTTACAATTACATAATATTTCTACTTCAATTCGTTTTTTAAATATAAACATTTAAATGGTGGCTATCATAAAAAATATAAACTTTTGAAGAAGTTAAAGTTATAATGAATATAATATATGGGTGCATATATTCCGCAAAATGCCCCTCTCTTCAGTCTATTTTTCTGTCTGACTAATGAGTTTATGGTCACCTAATGTTTTTGTTTCTGAGGTAGCTAAATGTGAAGTTAAGAGACATTGTTTACAAGTCTTTGCACAGCTGAAACACTGATTGAGCGATTACATGAGACAGGACACGGATTGTAAAGTTGTACTCTTTCTTTTAACTTACCTTCGGATGTTTAGTCGTGATTATTTTGATATTAATGTGGAGTAGATGATCAGTTCACGTGCACCTCGCGCATCCGCGTATTAGCCTACTACAGCGATCACTCCACTAAACAGCGCCAAAACGGCATTTATTGATTAAATACTGCAATACAATGGACATAAATTGAATTCTGAGACTTTGTTTCATATTAAAAGTACCAAAGCACAATGCTTTTTGCGATTTATTGGATGGGTGGTGCCCTTCAATGTTCCGTCCATTAACTGAAAACAGGCTAAACTAAGCGATTCTTGGAATTTAAGTATCGATATAGTTTCGTAAAACTGAGTCCAAAACCAATCATCACCAATATACTGAGAATTAAACATAAAAAAGCGAAATATCTAAATAAATAAATACATTTAATAAAAATAAATATCTAAAGAACTAAATATCAACATATCTAAATAAATATCTAAATTAATAATCTACAGACAAATATCTAGGTGTCTAAATATCTAAATAAGTATCCAAATAAATACCTACATAATTAAATATATACATAAGCATCTAAATATCTACAAAAATATCTGAATAAGTTAATTAATATTAATATGAATGAAAGACAGCACAACACAAAGCTTTGAATAATTTTTTATTCATAATTTATACCAGCAGATACAAAAATGTTTTAACGGTATCCAAATGTGCAAAAAAACACTATTGGTACTTTCATTAAATCAAATTAACAACAAACAAGATCTGACTTTGGAAAACGGACCATGTAAACTGGAGTGAGCAGACCCTTTTGGACAAAAAGGACTGAATTCAGAGCATTTTTATCATATAACTAAAAACGTTGAATACAATTTTTGCATCTGACTTTCTCAGGAGGAGTATACCAAAGTCATTGTAAATACATAGGCCTATATCTAGGTGACATTCTGTCTCCCCCACTTTGTAATTAAAAAGGCAATCATAATCGTAAAGCAGCACGAATGTGTATGACACATTAAAGAAATATGTTGTAAAATTGTACCAAGACGTTTTAAGAGATCTAAACAAAGAGAAACTAATCTGTACTAAATGCATCATGTAAACATTCACCTTCATTCGCAGCACAAGGACAACAAAACATGAATCAGAAAAATAGATATTTCAGTGAAGCTTGTTAAGTGCTCAATTGTCATCGGTTCAAAATACGACATACATACAATACGACATCTAACCACATACATACAAGGTAGGTCATGAAAATGATATTGAACGTGATGGAGTCCCGGCAACTTTGTTTCTTTTCTAAACAAATGCTCTCACACACTGAACATTTTCAGTGTTTATTCTAATTATGCCACACATTTGGGAATAAAAACTAAAAACTAAAGGAAATTCAATGTACACTGTGGTCAAACACTTCGGTTCACATTTAGTTTTTGCATTTGTCGACTTCCACATTCAGGTAAACGCATTTTCAACTTATTGAAAATGTTGTGCCTTGCCTAAAACATTCCTCTTTTTGTTGCTTACTCAACCACAACTCTCACACTCTCAAACACACACAATTGAGGTGATTCTGACATCCAACAACTCGTTCAAATAAACCCTTCATTTAATTGGAAAGAAATCATTCAAATACAGCAAATAAACATGAATATCATATTCTTTACCAAAGGAAAACACACATAGATACAGCATTTCAAATATGTTTCCAGGTGTGTTAAGGAGCAATTTTCATCTCAAACTGTTCCCTTATATGCATTACGTAAAAACCAAGCATATTTTATCACTGACGGAATGAAATCTATGGGTTATGTTTTCACTAATGAATATTAAAGATGGCAAACTGTGTTTATTTGCCAGCCAACCTTCAAAGTCTCCTTAAGATGGCTCACGAATACTTTCCACGGCATTGTTCCCCGGTTTCTGTGAACACCAGTTGGCACTTTTTTATAAAGGCCCTTAAAAGCCTTAGACCATGTGTGGTGTGAAACCGCAAATAGAAAGTTCTGGCTCTGATTCACACACATTCAATATGCCAGCTAGAGACATTTATAAGCTCTCCTGTTTGCTGATTATCTCAATGGAGTCCAATGCCAAGCAGCATCGACTCATATGAGCGCACGAGCTAAACCATTTCATGTCATATTTATCCCAGCATTATTTAAGCAATGCGCAAAAACCACTAACTCTTACAAAAGTCGAGCATCCAATGACCACAATTTTTCCTATCTGAAGCCCTATTAAAGCCCTCATTAAAGAAAACAAAAGCAACTGATAATTCCCTTTCAGGTGACTGGAAAGAGGATAGGTGGCGTGGGAAAAACAAAATGCACAACAGTGTATAAATTCTCAAATGTAAAAGTTCAACATTTTTGGCTTGAAGCAGAGTTTATGAAATATTGACAGGCTGACATGCTGCTATTTTGGAGAACAGAGGGTGAGGAAAGCCTTCTGTCATTCGGCAAAGGGCAAAAAAAACTTATGAATGCATAATTCCTTTGAGAAATTTGCAGATTAATTGAAAGTTTGCTTATGGTTCAAGTATAAACAAGCGAAATGTCTCTATAAAACTGTGCTTTTAGGTTTGGGTAGGTTGTCACCAATTCCAATTAATTCCAGCACTAGAATATGAAAATACTTCAAATGATGTTTAACAAAACAAATAAGATGCTCATGAACCATAATAAACCTTAGCTTAATGTACATGAGCCAAAAATGATTTAGACAGAACAGAATACTGTATGAACCACACTCTACAAAATAAATAAAAAACAAAACCTCTTTTGTTCCCTACCTGCTCCCTTTTTGTATAACATCACAGATTTGTGGCATTCTGCAAATATTATTCTATAACATTTGTTTTGGATATGATTCACAGTCCTATTTTGTGGCGAATTTGCTGTTGCACAGATCTACAAAAGTCCAACGGACGAATAAATGTTTTACTGTTAACCTCTAAATGTAAAGCATTAATCCTAAATAAATACTTATTCTCTCACAAAAGTTGTCTGTCGAACTTTAAAGCATTCGACATGATAACTATTCCACCAAAACAAAAGCATATTCGCAAGTTTCATTAAAAGTACCGATTTGTAGAAGGAAAACTATGAAAACCTGCCAAAAACGTGGCTGACATCATATTTCCAGAGAAAAGCAAATTTCTTGTAAAGGTGCGATCACTTGCATCATTGTTCGGTGAATTTTCTTGGGCGAAAACCCAGTAATTTCAATAGGAATCCACATGATTGGGAATTTCACACAAGTTGCGAAAGATTTCCTCACACAGATTTCACAACATATTCGCCACACTGACCAACAGAAAACTGCTTGGTTTGAAAGTGACTTCTAATAGCTGTGCTTCATACATCGCTACACTATTGAAAATAACCTTTTGTTCACGAAATTTTGCTGAAATTTCACCAATGTGACCACACCTTTAAGGCCCTTTCACATGTGACGCGGCAAGCGGTGGAATCGCCGCGCTTTCTCTTGTAGTGGAAACGTTTTGTGCAGTTGAGGCGGTGGTCGCGTTGCGGTCTCAGAGCGGACGTTGCCATAGTTACAATTGTCAACATCACTTTTGTATTTACTAAAAACTAAGTAAAACATAACGGAAACTTGTGTTTGCATCATTCTGCCATTAATTGTTGTCATTATTTACCTTTTTTTTCGTTTGGCACAAGAGAAGTTGTTTTTGCTGAATTGCCTAAAGAGCATACCTGTGAGGTCACGATTGAAGTAAAAATTTGAATGAAATATAATTTTATTTATGTCTCTGTATGAGATTTTAGATGGGTCACACAGTTCTGGGAAATCTATTACACTTAAAACAATCTTCTCCTCTATTTTTCCAATAGGCAGTTCAGTTAAATGTTCTATGATTGGTTATTAGTAATCTGTTCACTGATTGGTTGAAACCAACGTGGCTGCCGCTCACAAAAAGATCAAATATTTTTATCTTTGGCGGCGCCTGCCACGAATTGCCGTGCCCGTGGAAGCGGCAGGATTTTGGGTGCACGAGCACCGCTTGCTCTCCACCTCCGCGCTGCTAGCGAAACTGCCAGCGTTTTGTCGCTTTCCGCATGTCTCCCATTGAGAATGAACTAGACACTCGCGACAGCCGCGTACCGTGTGAAAGGGCCTTTACACTACAGCAAAACTATTGATGAATGAAGCACATTATTGCAACATCCAATCTTCAAATCCAAGCTTTGTATTAACATTACTGCAAAACATATTTATATAATCAATACGAATGTGTATTAGGCATGGCATCCCAATACTAAATAGTTTCTGGACTTACTACGTTGCTCTGAAAAGACCTGCAAAATGTAAAACACTGAATCTGAGCAACAACACATTTACCGCATATTTCTGTGGGGAGATCGGATCAACCTACGCAACTGATCACCTGACCTCCATATATGTAAACTGTTTTAAGAACGCGCCACTCAACAAAAAGTGCAATTTATTACCATATCCCACTACAGTCTGTTCAGTAGTGCTTCTCCTGCAAATAATCTTTCATTTTGTTTGGTAAAGGCAGTTTCTGAATCAAATCTATCCGCGTGTACTGACGGATGACAAAGCGGCAAAGATATTGCAGCGAACGCACTTGCATGAACCGCGACACGGGATTGGTCAGCCGAACGGGGTACATGGCAGACCCCGGCAGACGGGATCTGGAGTAACAGAACGCACCGTTTTCAGAGTCTTTTATAGAGTGCTCGATGAGATCTACGATGGAAGTGTGACCTTCTACGTCGGGCTGCTCGTAAAAGCTGAATCTGCCATTCGAGTGTTCGATCCTGGTGTGAAGCGTCTTTCCCTGTGACCGAAAGCTCAGGCTGAGGAGATAGCGATCATCTGAACTGTCCCTCACCAAAAAAGAGCCATCTGGAAGGTTGATGAGCTTCTCCTCGGCCTCCCATCGAGTTATAGGTCCCCAGTACCAACCCTGCTTGGCCAGTTTTTTAAGTTCCTCTGTAAGGCTTGTTACAACCATGGGTCCGCTGCTTTGGAAAGAATCGTACACCCTGCTAACACCGGGAGCAGAATTAGGGTCAAAGTTCAGGTGGTGCCTCACTCTCTCGACAACATGAGAGTCTGCACCACTGAACCCGGAGAGGGTCCTTGAAATATCGTTGCTGGAAAGAGGTGACAGGGAGGGAGAAAATAAAGGTGTGTCGGCTCTGGAGTTGGAAAGGACCATCGCCGGAGTACCAGGAAGGTGTCCGTTCACCTCCTGCTCCATGAGAATGTCCGATGGCATGAGATCATGGTCATCCGGGCCCTGATCCACATGCAACGAGTTAGATTTGACCTGATCGACCACTTCCATTGGCGAGGGACCATCCAAGCAGAAGGACTGGGATGAATCTGTGTACATTCCCTCATCTAAAGGCATTGTGTACTGGATGTAGTCCTGAGGTGTGAGTCCAATAGGCACGTGATCCTCAATGTTCAAATGCAAGTTGCCACTCTGAGTCTCCATGTCCTTCAAAGACTCGCTCTGATCCTGGAACAGACCTTCTAAATGGATGTCATGGAACTCCTTTCTGATGCCATTGAGGGAGGGACTGGGATTGGGGGAGTGGACCATAGCTTTGACCTTCACCTCCATCTTTATGCAAGCCTCTTCGGAGCCGATGGGCCGGAAAGGCCACGGAGAAGGGCTGTAATGATGGCTTCGGAGGGACGAGGACCTTAAGGGCCGCTGGGCTTTGACTTCATTAAAGCTTATCGGGACCGACGAGGAAGAGAAGGTGTCATCATCATCTCCAGAGCCCACTGCAGTGGAGCCTCCTTTGACTTTTGCTTTCTGTTTGGTAGACAGTCTCCTCTTTAGAGTGCCCATAAGACTCTCGCTTTTCGATCGGTTCTTATGACCCTTCTCATCGTCCCCATTAAGATCGCAACCTACCAGCCCTTTGGTGTAACAGCCTCCAAAGAGAGAGTCATCCTTGGTGAACTCGGCCGCTAAAGATGGCTGCTGAAGCATGACGAAATCCCCATCTTCTTTGCCCTTTATGTTAAGTGACTTTCTGATCGTCTTCAGACTGATCTTCTTCATCCTTGTACACCCAGTCAGGTGAGGGCATGGGACGGTCTTATCTGCTGACCGAAGGATGCTAACCGCAGGGTCTGGCCATGTGACTGGGAAATGTCAATCATGTGAACGCCAAAGCCTTCGTCATCTACAAAAGGTGAGATAAAAGACATCATGAAAACCAAACATGCAGTGTTCTCACACCTTTTGATTTATAATGACACTTCAAGTCATCTGTGACTGATATATTAGGCAGTATTTTTTTCTATTTGGCCGTTTCGCTAGATAAGACCCCTATTCTTCAGCTGAGATTGTGTAGAGCGCCTTTTGAAGCTGCTCTGAAACTGCCATTTGGACTTTCAGCCCATTGGCCACCACTGCAGGGCTCCAGACAAAAAAATTGAGTAAGGAGCCATTGGCTCCTATAAGAAAAAAAAGTTTTTTTTTAGGTTCCACAGAATAAACGTGTTTTATTTATTTTATTATTTTTACATTTTAACATTTCAGTCATACTGCTGCGTGTTTATGTCTAATCTTTTCTTGACTTTATCAGCATTTTAATCCATCTTGTAGATGACCTGGGAACTAAGGTTCACTTAAAGTGGGAACTAAATGTATTTTCCAACTATTGAAATATAGTCAAAGAATTGTTCATTAAACAGAATCTGTACCAATATCGTGGACCATAAGCATCACTTGGCCACTGGTCATACACTCTTAAAAATAAATGTGCTTCACGATGCCATAGAAGAACCTTTTTTGTCTAAATTGTTTCATAAAGAACCTTTAACATCTGAAGATTGCAGGGCTCCAGACAAAAAAATCGAGTAAGGAGCCATTGGCTCCTATAAGAAAAAAAAGTTTTTTTTTAGGTTCCACAGAATAAACGTGTTTTATTTATTTTATTATTTTTACATTTTAACATTTCAGTCATACTGCTGCGTGTTTATGTCTAATCTTTTCTTGACTTTATCAGCATTTTAATCCATCTTGTAGATGACCTGGGAACTAAGGTTCACTTAAAGTGGGAACTAAATGTATTTTCCAACTATTGAAATATAGTCAAAGAATTGTTCATTAAACAGAATCTGTACCAATATCGTGGACCATAAGCATCACTTGGCCACTGGTCATACACTCTTAAAAATAAATGTGCTTCACGATGCCATAGAAGAACCTTTTTTGTCTAAATTGTTTCATAAAGAACCTTTAACATCTGAAGAACCTTTACATTTCACAAAAGGTCCTTTGTGGCGAAAGAAGGTTCTTCAGATTATAAAAAGTTGAGAAAGAGATGGTTCTTTAAAGAACCTTTGACTGAATGGTTCTTTGTGGAACCAAAAATGGTTTTATAAAGAACCTTTTAAGCACCTTTATTTTTAAGAGTGTATGTCTTTCACATTTTCAGTCTGTTTTACTTAAATAGTAAAATGCTATTTTATAGGGGGAGTTGAATCATGTAGACAACAGGTTAAGTAAAAATTTTAACATGCAATAGCGCATAAATATAGCAAAATGCTCCTCTTTATAGTTATTTTTCTAGCTGACTGATGAGCTTATGGACACCGAATGGTTATTCTGAGGTACATGTATATTGCGTTGCAATGTTTACAAGCTTTACATGTTTTCCACAGTTTGAAACACTGAATGAGCTTTTTCATGAGACATTTCAGTAAGTTGTACTCTAGGCTCTCTTATAAAATAGCCTACCTTTTGATGTTAATTCATGTTTATTATGTACTATAGTAGTAAAGGGAAAGATTAAATGGGTTCACTTGCTGCTTGAACTGAGGCGCTAAAGTGAACGCGCCTGCCGCATTAAAGAGTGCCAAAAAACTAAACTGTATTTATTGTTTGAATTTCGTTATGAATTTGGAATAATTTTAAAGTCGATACTTTTTTATTAAAAAGTAACAAAGCACAAAGCTTTTTGCTATTACTGGACGGCAAGTGAACTTCAAATAATATGAAGTTCACGCATTAACAGAACACAGCATAGACTAAGATCTTGTTAAGAAGAAGCCATATTAGTGATGATTATAAGTGAGAATTGTTAACGATATTGCCAATATCCACACAGCTGACAGCTTTACCTGTTGTAGTTTGTTCAAGTTGTGCACGAAATAGACACTGTTTTCTGCACTTTCACTTTGCACGTATCCATCATTTCAATCTCTGTCGCGCTGCACAACTGAGCTGCGTTTAGCAGGTGTGCGACAATGCTGCTGTGCGGCAGAGATAAGGACTGTTTGAAACTCTTTTTTTCCCCACTAAAACTTTGATGCGCACGCATCGTCTCAGTTTAATACGTGAACATAACAAAAGATGTGATCGCAAAACAATCAGGAAAAAAGGCATTACATGCACATTTTTAAAGCTGCAGTCCGTACGTTTTGCCTCTTTGTCGCCATCTCTGTTTGAAAACCTGGAATTGCAGCTGTGTGCGGAATTATCTAGTTGCGTGGGTTGTGAATCTGCACGGCTCCAGCGTGGATTAATCTAATGTTCTGAAGAGTATGTGTGGCAGTCATTCATCGCACCGGTGTGGATATTTACTGTACTTCGCAATCACAGATTCTAGCCTACGTCTTGGAATATATGACGCAAATAAGAATTTTCACCGTATATTGCCATCTGTACAAGTAAATAACAAGTAGGGCTGGGCAAACAAATCTATTTTCCGATAAATCGTTTTTTTTTTTTTAAATGACGTCAATTCGATATCGATTCTCAAAAGCCGCGAATTGATCTTTTCCAGTATTTATTTCAGCACACATTTAAAACAAGATCTGATTAACGTGAATCTTATTATTAGTCTTCTCCACTAGATGTCACCCTTATTTACCTTGTGCAATGTTACAACAGAAATCCTGTCATTCATTCAGCACTTATCATGGCCATACGCACAATTCGCAATGCTCAGGTGAAATGCTATAGTAATACTATAAATCTGCAGAAGCATTTGATATCACGCATAAGGCGCCATGATTTCCGCAATGAATGAATGGCGGATGGTGCGGCGCACTGTTTTGTTTACACATACTAAAGCGCGGATGACGCTCGTGGTGTTTTCAGCTTCTGCCGTCTCACTATATGATGATATGAACACGAATGTCATTCCAGCTGCTCTGAGAGTCACTTCATTAGGATTTACCGTTTCATTTGAGAAATCTACCGTCATATCACATCCACAGCAGCTGCAAGTTCTTCATGGCAACCCGTCAAAATAAAAGTTTAGTTTAACGTTCTACTGTCAGAATATATTACTATTTAGCAGTCTTAAGACTCAATGCTACTACTGCTAATACATATTAATAAATCTTTATTTTTAAAGGAATAAATCACATCTATTTTCTTTTTGATTTTAACAGTAAACCTCTGTTATGCAGCACTTTGTTTGCCAAAAAATAAAAGGGTTTAATTTTCATTTGATTAGGATAAATTAATTTAATGTTTTATGCCTTCATCTGATTACCAGAAAAATTAAGAACATTTTATAGGGCCCTATTATTGTTTAAAAAAGGACCCTATACAAAAAAAAAAGAATAGGTTTAAAATACAGGCATGTGGTTCTTAATTTCTTTTTATTAATTCACCATTTGTAAACTGATGTTTACTGTTCATTTTTTAGAAATATCAATAGCATTTGTATTAAAACTATATTCACTGAATGTAATAAAAAAAAATTGAGAATCGAATCGAAAGCTTGCTAATCGAAATTGAATCGAATCGGGACATCAGAATCGATACCCAGCCCTAGTAACAAGTCTGCCACGTTTGTGCTTACCAACTGAGGAAAAAAGCATTAGGCCTACCATAAATCTCGCTACCAATGGTGATTAAATCTAAAGATCGGTTAGCTCATATCACATCAAACCATTCAAATTATTATTATTGTTATTCTTTATTCTCAAATGATTAATGTTAACAACATCAGCATTGGTGACTATGAGTATAGTGTGTATTAGCATGTAGATTTACATTTCTGCACAATCTAATCTAATTGTCATACTCCTATTGAAATTCTTTTAACCCAAAAAAGCTAATTATGCTCCCTTCGAACTGGTTTTCTTTAAAATACAAATCTTTGTAATCCCAGGCTATCTGTAATCAGAAGCACATTTATAACTGGAATATAATTTAATTTAATTCACATGTGTTTCAGAAACACATAATCCGTTATGGATACAATCCACCATCAAAATGATTTGCCATCATTTAATTATTCTGGCTGTTGTGAGAAAAGGCTATAAATGATCGGCCACCTGCAGGATCCTCACATGCGACAGCCTAGTAGCCGGGACAACTTCTTTATGTTTACAGAAGTGACGTAATGGCGCAGTGCCATGCTCGAATTTCCTGCGAAAACCTACCCATACCACTCAAATTAGAAAACATTATTATAAGATAACCGTTGTGAATCAGGCTAAAGTAAGATGATAGTTTTAAACACTGGCTAGTTATGTACTTGCTCAAATATTGATTTCGGATAATTTTTAACCAAAAAAAGTTACACACTGCAGCTTTAAGTTATAACGTAAATATACAGTGGTGTGAAAAAGTGTTGGCCCCCTTCCTGATTTCTCTGTATACAATACAAACTTGTGAACAATCTGCCAGGCTGTTTTGAACAAATGTGCACAAACTACATACTTAAATCTTAATAAATGAAAAGAACATATTTAGATATGACTTTATTGTTAAGTGCCATTGTCTCCCTTAAACTCTGCAGTGTATAGGCTATGCGGCCGTTAGTCCTTTACAGAAGCATTAAAATACATCTTAAAAATAAAATGATATAGGCTACAGAAAGCGAGCAACGAGTGCTCCCAAGCTGTCATTCACTTCAGCTGCAGCGCGAATGGCTAGAATGCGCAACGCTGCAAATCCAATGTTGAGGCTCCGCTATTAATATTGAATTTCATTAGTCCCACTTATTTATGCACGTTTGTTCGCAGGAAAGTGAGCAAGACACGACAGTGATTATAGTTAAATAAGATGAAAGACATAGGCTATAATATAAAGAAATTAGCTACATTTATTTTCAAATTAAATATCACAACACATTTATCATTCAGTCTAGTGCGTTTTACATATAATGTAAGCGCAACTTGTGTAGATTTAAAAAGGCATGACTGCTTCATTTTGGTGTGTATTTGTATACTTTTACCATCTAATCAATCTCAACATGCTTTAATTTGGTGTCGCTAGACGTTTGCATCACTAAGGTTAAATTAGCCTAAGTCTTTCTTTGGCCTGCGCTCTGGAAGTGATCTGTTAAATCTAATAAACTTTAATTACTAAAACTAAACTATATAAAAACTAAATAGAAATGTGTTCACAAAATAAAAACTAAACTAAAACTAACAAAATTATTAATGAAACTAATAAAAACGAAACAAAATTGTATTGCAAATTTGAAAACTATATTAAAATAAAACGAATTTAAAAATGCAAAACTATAATAACCTTGGTCTCCAGCAACATTTTTAGGTTTTCTTGTTGTTATATATATATTTTTTAAAGAATTCTCTTCTGCTCACCAAGGCTGCATTTATTTGATCCAAAGTACAGCAAAAACAGTAAAATGTTGAAATATTTTTACTATTTAAAATTGCTTTATATTTTAATAGATTTTAAAATGTAATTTATTCCTGTGATCATACATAGCTAAATTTTCAGCATCATTACTCCAGTCTTCAGTGTCACATGATCCTTCAGAAATCATTCTAATATGCTGATTATCAATATTTAAAACAGTTGAGTAATTTTTTTT